AAAATATTTTAGCAATAGAGGCTTTTACAGAACTCTTATAAATAATTTCATAAATAAAATCATCTTCATATATAAAGTGAGATAAGATTGCTTTGCCAATTTCATCATATTCTTCATAAACTTCTAATAATATTTCTTAATCTCTAAGCTTGTTAATTATTTTAGTATTCTTCCTCCATCCTTCATGATTAAATCAATAAACATATTAATATTTATAAGTACAGAAGTATTGTTTTTGATAGCTTCCAGTGACAAATATTTCTCTGTGTTTATTATATTTATCACATTGAGAATAGGCAGGAAGATTTAATTATTTTTCTCTGATTCAATTATCACAGGTGATTGCTTTTTCTCTATTCATTTTAAAATATGTTCTAGTATAATATTTGTCTACATATTTTTCACATTTATGACATCTTTTAATCTGAGAATTAGGATGAATTTATTATGCAATAGCTTGATATGTATCAAAACTTTTCTTGACTCTTTTGTTAATGAAGAGTTCTTGTTCAACTTTATTAGTCTAATCTTCATTAGTTTTGAATTTAGTATGGAAAGATTTGTGAATTTTGATTACTATCCAGTCAGTAGGATTATTATAGCATCAGCAATATTGATAATTAGATATAAAAAGATTTCTATAGCATCAGCATTAACTATTTGGTCCTTGTCAGTCAAATAACCATCAGTTATTCTAATTACAGGGTTGAGTAAACTTCTTGTCAAGTTATTTAAAATCTTCCCAAGTGTATTTCTTCCATTTAATTTTGATTTCTTCTTGATAAGCTTGTACTTCATAAATTCTTTTAACACTTTGAATAATTTGAAATGATATTTTTTCAAAGTCAACATCTCTTAATCTTTGGTTTGGAGTTTCAACAGGAGTCCAGACTTCTTTGGTGATGATTTTAACACTATCATCATCTTGAAATTCTTGTTGTCTAGGGGTTGCAGTATTCCAGTCGTCATGTTGTCACATATTAATATTAACATTGATTGTGAATTTAGTCAATATTAATACTAACGTTAAACAAAACGAATATTTTAAATTAAATTTTGTACCAACTTTGGAATAGCGATAGACTATCTCCGCAATTACTGAACTAATTTCAACGCAATAAGTACCAAAATGATCGTCTCGAACAGGCGAATCGAATGTGTATAAAATTAATCACAAGCTGTCGAGATATCGGCGGTAAGGGGAGTGCCGCCCACACCTGATATGCAAGTCTATATTAAAATCGATATATGCACACCTCCGGAACATCAAAAAAATATAGTAAACTACAAAATTTTCTCTATATAAAAGTCTTTAATTTTATTGCTAAATCTTGTTATTTATATATCAAATAAAGATAATAACCTATTCACATATGGTTTTTTAGATTCTTTAGATCCTTTGAATTTTTTCTGAAAAATTGTTCTAATTGTAAATTCTCTATAAAATTTTTCTAATAAATTTGTATTTTACATGCACTTAGAAAAAAATTTTATAGAGAATTTATAATTAGAAAACTTTTTCAGAAAGAATTTGAAGAATTTGAAGAACTGAAAAAATGGAGAAAATTTCGTATCTTACTATGGTTTACTATATATCGATATGAACAATCTGTTCTGCGCTTTATGAACATGTAATGTGTATATTCAATTTTCTTCTGCGGCTGCACAAATCAATTTTAAACAAAAACTACACGTACTAGTCAATTAAAAGACGGTTAATACAAATTGGGCGCGCCCACACACAGTCATATAAAGTGCAACATTATCCGCTACTCAATACGTGTATTTGGCACTGAAAAATCTTCGGTTATCGGTTAAAATGTATTTAATATAAAACTTCGGTTTAACGGGGTATTTTAAATATATTTGATGGCATTTATTAAAAAAGATTCGGTTTAATAGGTATTCGGTCCGGTTTAACGGTGTTGCCTTTGTACATGTACATGTACATGTACATTTAATTCATTTGAGTTAAATCAAAATTAGTCAATTGTAACGTTTGCACATAAATAATGCACATATCACGCGAAAAGTTATGTAATACTGATCCACAAAATTGGTCCAGAACATCGATATCAAATATCGCTTTTAACATGAGAATAATAAAAATAAAATCTAACCATATACCAAAAAATTACAAATAGTCTAGTATGGATTCTCAAACGGCGCTTCCTGAAGCACCAGAAATAACAATAATCCATGTTCAATTGAACGACGACATTCCCTTTCTAATAGAACTTCCGATAAACGAAAAACTAATTGAAATTCGTGAAATACTAACCGGAAAACCAGAAATTCGAATAGGCAATAAGATGTCATTCACAAAATTAAGCGAAAATGACGCTTATGCAAAAATTTTACAAGAAGACGAAGATAAATATTATTTGTCGGATATCTTAGATAATAACAACAAATTGAAATTTGTCGGTGAGATTGAACCAGATTGGGCAACGATTGAAAAAAATTGTCATCTTTTGTATGGAATTCGTTTTACTGAATCAGGACCCGAACTTGCAGATGAACAAGCATTTGAAATCAAAGAGCTTCCAGCATCAAATGAAAATACATTTGAAGTTACAGAGGTTCAGGAACCAATACCAGACAAGATGATATTTTGTGAGACTGAAAGTGATCATTTGTCTGTAAGGAACTTCATCTCGAATGTAAAACTTAATGTAAATCTACCAAGGTAAAGGAACTAAATTTGGCAATATTCTTAATTAAAATTAACGTTAATGAATTAAAATTTTTGATATTGATATGCAATTAGTTCGCCCATTTCAGTTACGTTTGATGGCACTCGAACTTTGCAACACGGAAACCACGTTAACAGTAGAAAAGCGACTACTTATTGCACATCCAAAAGGATTAAAGCAAGAATTTTAATAAATAAATCAAAAATTAAAGCCACCGACAAATTTTTAAATGCGGTTGATAAAGCACTTGAATCTAATGATCAGCGAGAAGCACTTAAAGAAGTGATTAATAATTATGGACAATATTGGTGTCAAAGAATCGGAGTAGGAGGGAGTATTGTTTATGTTCAAAAGGAGGAAAATAAAATAAATGAAATCGGAACTTCCTATGAAAGGAATTTCGGAGGGTCTACGAATATAGGTTTCGATGGAAGAAATGCAAGAAATCAAACAACAACTCGAAAGAATGCATTAAACAGTGAATACACTTATTTTGACATACGCGGTGGACTAGAAGAAGAATATTATCATGAACGAGGAATGTGTGGTATGTAAAGATATATTTATAAATATTTTATAATTTTACTTATTCTTATATATAATTTGTAGGATGGTTAAAATCCTTAAGAGATTATAAAACATGGAGGGCAGCAGAGTATTCAGAAGTTAATTCTATATTTGACCTTCTTGATGAAAAAATAAGAGAAAAAATTGCAGCTGCGCTCAAAAAACGAATCATTCATTCCAATGTCGAAAAGCTAGATTTCATTATGGATATATCGACGAGAGAGCCATACATCTATGAATTTCCTAAAGAGCTCAATATCTCTAGCTCTAATCAAATATTCGTAACAGAGATGAGAGATGAAGAAACAGAAACAAAATCAGCATTTGCTCTTCGAGTCCACTATATTAACGAAAATAAGCCGCCAGTGATTCTTGTGCATCGACTCGGGAAACTTAAAAAACGAAAAAAATGCGTAACTTTTTCGGTAAAACTTGGCTGGATTATTGTTGGAACTTCACCAGTTTTAAATTTATTAACAAAGAGTTCTATTCAGCCTGTATTTGAAAGCGCAGAAATTCCAATTACTGTAAATAATAACCAATTTTCAGCATCTATCTCGGCACAATGTTTGAATCCAAATACGAGCCTCTTGGCAACATGTGTTACAAGATCAAACAATTCGGAAGATAATCCGTCAAAATCAGAATATATTACGGGAACTTATTTTTATAATAAAAATGGCGCCGTCGAAGCATGTGCTTTTTGTTATGATCGTGATAGTAAGTGGAACCAATGGAATATTATTGAAATTATTGGATGTTCATTTCAATAATATAACATGTAATAAAATTTTTAGTGAAACCATATAATCAAATTGAAAATACAAATCTTTCAATTCATTATAGGTATGTTTTAATTTCTTGATTTCTTGTTTAAAATAATTTTTATCTTTTATTAATCATTTCTTTGCAGCATGATTTCTGGGCAATCAAACAATTTTGTATTTGGTCACACTTCAATATCGATATGCAGAAGTAATTGGAGGAGTTTTTCTAAAAAATATAAAATCTCTTTCACAAAGTACTCGCAACTAATTTCTCAAGAAACAAACGTTGAACTTGTATCATCATCATCATTGAATACACAATCTATCTCACCTACCGCTATACAATCAAGCATAAATAATCCTATCTTCGTCAATTTGGTTTTGAATGAAAATCCTACGAAATGCATTCACGGATTTTTTACGATAACACCAAACTACGCAATATTTTGGTCTTTAAATAATTCAATTAACAAAAATAATCTAGTTACATATTTTCGCGCACCATCAAAAAATAATAGCTAGTCGAATTTTATATATAAGAATAATACAGAAATATTTTAATTTATACTATGCGATTGCTAAATAACTTTTATACAAAAATAATTTCATAATAACTTCAAACCAAAACAGATTATAGAATTGGGTTTCGGTGTGCATATGTGAAATTCTTTACTTTTGAGAAAGAAATGGTCGATCATTAAGTATTTATTTGAGTATTTAAATAATAAATATTCAAGATATTTATCTTGTTAAAATTCAAAATTAAGTTTGATGTTAAGCTCATCCAAATTTTATGGATTGTTAGAGATAATAAAGTACGAGAATTAGCCTTAGAAGAAAATATACAAAAAAGTTCGATATATCTGTAATAGTAAAACCTAATTTTTGGTCTATTTATGATGTTCATGCATGTTTAATTCCAACTCCTCCTTTTACAGACATTCTGTAATACATATTACTATTCCATAGATGCAATAGAGATATTCCATGGATTTTGAAAATCCAAGTTCTTTCAGGACAGTTAATATGCTTTTGCATATTCATACATTTCTACGAGCAAATCGAATCAGTTATGTAATTGTATTAAAGAAAATAAAAAGGAAAATCTAATGGATCCTGGATCGTTCCATTATGAAAATTCGAAAAGAACAATGGTTATCAATATCTTTCGAATGAGTTAGAATAAATGGTTTCCAAACAAAACTATATCTCATAATATAAAAATTTGATGACTATAGTGTTTTTGACAATATGTTTATATTATAAATTCAACGCTTCTTGTGACTGACTTGCGTGCAAATCAGTTATTGTTATTTTTATAATTTCACATTCCTTAATTTCATGATTTCGATATCATTTTAATTAATATTTTCTCCTTAAAATATTTTAATTAAGAATGATAATGACTAAATTTCCTTGTGATTTTTGGCAGTGTCAAGGAATTCTTTTTAAAATAATTTACATTTTGTCAAGTGCCAAAAACTTGTGAAATGTACAAAAAGTGCTAATTATAGAAAAATAAGAAATAACATATATAAAGCGTTTCTTAATATTAAGAAACTCGCATGCACTAATCTATTAAATAAAGATAGATTAACATTTAAAAACACTATTTGCTAATTATTATCTCTAATTAGATAATACATGTATGAACAAACTTTACTATAAATAAAATATAATCATAATTGTAATTTTGTGAACTGTAACAATGTATCTAATAGATAATGTTTATTATATACATATTTATTCATTGTGTCTCCTCATAATTTTAGAAGTTATTTTCTTTAGTAAAAATTCTATAAATATACTTGCAATATGTAATTGTTATATAAGTAAGTATTATGAATTAGAAGTAGCTCAAATAAAATCAGAATAATATATTGTTAACAGAGTTCTTTTATATCATAATCATATATTAAAATATGAAGCTTTTTATAAAGTAAATACAGAAAAAGAAACACAAAGAATTTTGACTTTACCAATATCAAAAGATAAAAAACAAAAAAATAATGAAGAAGTAGATAATATATTTATTATTTTTTATATTAGAATTTATATAATAATATAATATATCTATATTATATTAAAATTTATATTATTATTTATTTTATAATATTTTAATAATTAAAATCAATATAAATAATATATTATCAACAAATTTGCAAGCCAACTTAATCAATTTAGTTACTTATCTATTAATAATCAATTATTAATAATTATAAATTTTTCTAATAACTTTTAGCTAATAATAAAATAAGAATAATGATTATTAATAATTATTTTTATTTCTAACTTTTATATTTATTAAAAATAAAAATACTATTATATTTAAATTTTTGATATTAAAACTCAAATTATCTATGTATAAAATTATCAATATATAATATTAATAAAATATATATAATTATTATAAGAAAATATATAGTATATTACAAAAAAAAACTGGATATTTTAATTTTTCTATAAATATTTATTCAAATAATATAAAAATTTAAATATATATACTTGAGAAAATAATAAATAACTTTATTTAAGACTACTTAAATACTTATTTTATTAAAATTTTTTATAATTTATATATTTATAATTAAAATTTTTAATAATAAAAAAAACTTAAAAATATTATTATAATTAAATTTAATTATTTTTTTTCTAAATTAATTTAAATAAACTTGTTTATTAGATTATTAAGCATATATAATTTAAATAAATATTATTAAATAATAAGCTAAAAAAGATCTTAAATTTTTATAATTATTTTTTTCAAAAAAAAGTTTTAATAAAAAAATTTTTATAAAAAAAATTTTATTAAATAAGTTATTAAATATTTTTAAGTAAATTTATTTATTAAATTATTAAGAATATATAATTAAAATTTTATATGATTTAAATAAATATTTATTAATATAATTAAAAATAAAATATTCAATTTTTTTCTAATATATTATAATTAAAATTATTAAAAAAATATAAATAATATGTAAAAATATTTTGTTAATAATTGTAAATAAGATAAAATATAATATGAATAGTTTTGATTTTATAACTTATGATTATTTTTATTATTTAAAAATATTCAGATCTGAAAAGAAATTACAGAATAGATAGATCTTATTTATAATAAAAAAAATAAATACAAAAAACAAATAAATTAATAATAATTTCTTTTTTTAAAATATATATAATTTAATAAATTAATTAACTTAATTTGTATTTTCAGAGAGCAACTAATTATAATTCAATAATTAATAATATAATAAAACAAGAATATAAATAACAATTAAAAAAATGAATAAAAATATAAAAAAAATCTAATTAAAAATATTAATAATTTTAAATTAATAATTAAAATATATGATAATTATTTGTATAATAATATATTAAATCTAATGTATCAAATATATAATGAGTATTTATATATTCAGAATGAAATTAATCTTCAAGAAAAAGTAATACAAAGATAATTTATAATACAGATAGTACAAAATAAAGATCTAAACTAAAGAAAGATAATCTAATTAAAATTATTATATACTTCTCTACTTAAAATATAATATTTTTATTGTATTTAAATATATAATTTTTCAAAGATATTAATCTTTTTCATGATATTTTTCAAGTTTTCAAGAGGTTTTCAAATTATATTATAGAGAAAATAACTGAGTTATTTAATAAGATATTGAAATTTGTAATAATAAATTCTTTTATCAAGAATATTCTCTATCTTATATTCTTCTTTATTATCTAATATGATAATTATTAATAATAATTAATATCTATTATATTCATTATCTGAATTATATTTTTTTAGAAGTAATATATAAAATATCAAATGTAATTTTATATTTACTAATAATTATAATTTATAAATAATAGAAGATATTTTACTAATAATTTAAAGAATTCAATAAATTTTAATATAAGTTTCTTGATTATTCTTTGCTTATTAACTAGAGTTTTTATATTGCAAGTGAAAAAAAGAACTTTATCTTCAAGATTAAATTCTTCAAATCTTCTATATTAATTTATATATTTACTTTATCTTTCTTAAGCTTTTAATAATAGATCTTTTACTATTTTTATTATGATATTCTAATACTTTATGAAATTTTGTGAAACTGCAATATTATTTTATGATGACAAAATATTAATAGGTATATGAGATATTTATTCAAAATCTAATTCAAAGAGTATATAACTAGTTGAAGTATTTTTACTATTATTATAGATGAATTCTGTAATTACTAAATTTTCATCATATTTATTTTATTGATAGATTACATATATTCTTAATATTTTTTCTAAACTTCTGTTAAGTCTTTTTATTTGGCCATCAGTTTGTGGGTAAAAAATTATAAATATTACTAATTTTATCTCAAGTTATTCAAAAAAAGATTTTCAAAAGTAACTTATAAATTTAGCATTTTTGTCTAATATTATAATTATAAGTAAGCCATGCAATTTAAAGATATTTTCAAAAAATATCTTAACTATATCAGATATAGTTATCATTATTATAATTTGTATAAAATATACTCTTTTTTGATAGTTTGTCTATAAATATAACTATTATATTATATCTAGACTTGATGATTTGAATTTAAATTATAAAATTTATAATAATATATTTTCATCTCTTTTCTAAAATAATTAAAGATTGAAATAATTCTGAGAATTATTAATTATTACTTTTGTTATGCTAATAAGATTCACAATTGATATGTAACAATTTTGATTGGATTATCTTCTTTTAGATCTCTTTTAGTTAGATCTTTATTTTGTGCTATTTGTATAACAAATTAGCTTTGTATTACATTTTCAAGAAGATCATTTTCACTCTGGATATATAGATGATCATTATGTATTTAATACATCTAGATTTAGCACATTGTTACTCAGATGATCACTATATGTATCACAATTATTAATTTAGATTATTAATGTTTTTAATTAATTATTTCTTTATATTTTTATTCATTCTTCTTCTTATATATTTATATTATTAT